TACTTAGCTGAGCTGTGAAGCAGCAACCTCTGAACAATATAATTGAGCCAAATAGTTCAAAGAAACCCTTTTTGTCTATTAAGACATTCTAAAGTCATTCAATTCTTTATTTAGACAAACTCTTAATGATGTTTAGCAATTAGCACTGAGTGACTCCAGGATTCAAAAACATGAAAACCCATTAAAAACGAGGCATTCGTTGCATCCAGTGGGGACATAATTATGGATGAATGGATATAATGACTTATACTGTCTTTTTACGCGTTGTATTGCATCGCGCCGCGTAAACATAAAACCATGTCTGCATTTGTGATCGGAGAAATGACAAACAACAAGCCCTACTCTACACTGCCCAAAAGACTCGCTTTAAATATAAAAAATATAAAAACTCTTTAAATATAAAAAACATACTTACAGTATGTGAGTCAGAACAGCCGCCGGCGGCCTAGAGTGAGCGGAGGCCGGGGGCTAGAGTGAGGAACGGCCGGAGGGCTAGAGTGAGAAGAGGCGGTGGGCTTGAGAACGGCGCGGCCGACGGATTCGACGAAGGAGCGTCCAGAGGGCTTGCGGCAACCACATGTGACGACCCCGGGCTGGACTCCGCTTCATCCACGGTGAAAGCCGATCTGGCGATTCACAGCGCAAAGTTGATGTTTTTCCTGAGCGACCAGCACGGATCAGCTGTAGGCATGACGAAGCGGATATCGTCCTCTTTTGGAAGACCAAACAAAGTAGTTTCGCTTTCACAACGAAACACACAGCGTCTTGACATGGCGGCGGCAGCGGCAACAACAATACTACTGCGAGAATAAAAGTTATGCCTTCTTTCTTTGCGTGAACATTTGGGCGGCGTTATGCAAATCTTCCCACATCGTGACGTAGACATGTGGGGGCGTGTTAGAACGAGTCGTTTTAGGTAGGCGTGGTTGACTCTTAACTTTTATAAAGAAGATCTCTTGGATTTGAGACTTTAGTCTTTGCAACTTTACAGATCTTCTTTATGTACCAAGAGCTTGTAACACTCCAACGAGAAAGGAAAAATTTTAATCGCATCATATGACCCCTTTAACATGAGAAAAATGATGCCCTTCACCTTTAAATATGCTGAAAGATTATATTGTGCCAATAGATAGTAGGCCTACCTCTAAGCATTTCCACCTGAGCTGAACTGTTGCGAAGTCATTATAGTGTGTAAATTGAATGTTGGGAAGGAACTTTGGAGCCATAGTTGGACTGAGATTAAATTTCTTCGCAGAATACAAAGCTGACACTGAAATAATGAACTTTTCTCCCGCTTTGGTGCATCTCAGTTGATTCAGACCTTGGTAATGGCTTTAGATGAAGCGGCACAAGAAAGGCGGCCTGCTTTTCTGGCGCTGAAGTTTCACTTGAAGTTTTAGGGCCGCATATAATGAGGGACCAGGTGCTGGAAATATTCCTGGACAGACAACAGAGCAAGCCAAGCGCAGCTCCACACACACACACACACATACACATAAGCAAGTCTCAGCCTCACTCCCTGTTACTGTGAAACCTGCTATTTTAGTTCTGACACACTTTTTTCCTTTCTCCTCAGAATCTGACAGAGGAAGTGTAAGCTTTTAAAGTGTCTTGCGTGTGAATTTGAGGCTCTGTGTGTACCCGTGCACTTGTGTTTGTCGGCTCTCTGTAGACTTTGTTATGACCATAGAGAAAGCTTAGAGTCCATTCTAATTGCTGACTAATCCCAGCGCCAGCCTGTGGAAGAAAGAAGAAGAGAAAATCATTACTGCTGTTGACATGTGATAAACGACCTCAGAGTAACAGAAAGTCTGCACAAACCTCCTCATGCCTTTATAAGCAACTTGGGGACTTAAAAAAGAGAAAAAGAGGCAGAGAAAGGGTTTGACAGAAGCTTAAGTGAAAGTTAGAAAGCAGGCAGCTGTAAATTCAGCACTGAGGCTTAATTGAAAAGGAAAAAATATGTGAGAAAGCAAAAAGGAAACAAACATGGGATCCGTAAAATGTAATTGATATCCATTATGTGTGCTGGTTTTGTTTTAAATTTTGTCTTTATATAGTTGTTTATTGTATATACCAAGTTTATTGTTTCAAGTTTAATGCTGTTAATTAAGATTTGTTTATTCATTCATCATTCTGATGAAAATGAAAAATGAAAAATATATAAATATTATATTAAAAATGTGTAAAATATAAATTCAGTGTAAAAACCTACTATTTGTAATTTGTAGCTTGTAGTGCAGTTAACTATTTAAAGAGTTATTCACCCCAAAATTTTAATTCTGTCATTAATTACTCACCCTCATGTCGTTCCAAACCCATCAGACCTTCGTTCATCTTCGGAACACAAATTAAGATATTTTTGATGAAATCCGAGAGCTTTCTGACCCTCCCATAGACAGCAACGCAACTGCAACGTTCAAGGCCCAGAAAGGCAGTAAGGACATCGTTAAAATAATCCATGTGACATCAGTGGTTCAGCCTTTTTTTATGAATTCATGAAGCTACGAGAATACCTTTTGTGCGCAAAGAAAACAAAATAATGACTTTATTCAACAATTTCTTTGTGGTACTCTTGTAAAAACACACGTCAAAGACCGACACGCACAAAAATATTCCCGTAGCTTTATAAATTTAAGGTTGAACTTCTGATGTCACATGGTCTGTTTTAACGTTGTCCTTACTACCTTGAACGTGGTAGTTGCCTTGAACATGGTAGTTGCCTTGAACATGGTAGTTGCCTTGAACATGGTAGTTGCCTTAAACATGGTAGTTGCCTTGAACGTGGTAGTTGCGTTGCTGTCTATACAGAGTCAGAAAGCTCTCGGATTTCATCAAAAATATCTTAATTTGTGTTCCAAAGATGAACGAAGGTCTTATAGGTTTGGAACGACATGAGGGTGAGTAATTAATAAAATAATTTAAATCTTGGGTGAACTATCTCTTTAAGGCAACTAACTTTCTTTTGAATAATGTTTTATAACATCAGTTTTGGGCGCTACTATGTTGTATCAAATATTCTTGTAAAAGTGACAATGAAAATGTCAGTATTGTTTAGTAAGCTCAAACTAAACACATTGCCAAGTAAAACAACATACTAGAACACTAAAACAGTTATGCAATCATAAGTTTCTTTATGACAGACTCCATGACTCACATTTATATTAAAGCATTTCATCTTACAGGACACACATTGAGTATCTCTTGCTTGGGTAATTATATTGGTTTATAAAGGCATTTGGATGAGATTCAGTCATGTGAGCTCTGGGATTGCATAATGTTTATTGATCATGGTTTGAAATGCGCCATTGACAGTTCTTTTGAGTGAAACAACAATAAATAGCTCATTAGAGCACATTGATTAAATGCTTAAATATATTCACAGCTCTTATGTGTACTGGCTTCAAAAGAAAAGTGCTCATTAACAAACTTTCAGCATGATGTAGTACGACGATGATGTGATAAACTGTCAGTGGCAGATTTTTGAGATTCTTGTGGAGGAAAGCGTATTTGTGTTTGCAGTAAATGGCAGTTCCATTAAAATGCTTCCTTTGAAAGGATTTTTTTAAATGTATTCAGTCACCTGTGAGATCTACTTCATGGTCAATTTCTGCATCCGGTCATACAACTATTTTGCTTTTTCCGAATCATGCCAAAACTTTTCCTTATGCACAGAACTTTTTGTTTCTGTCTATCTGATATTTTAAAAGATTTGACAGATATTGTCAGATGTTGTTTTTATAACTGATACTGATACTGATGTTCAAGTGCCCAATTCAAAAATAGATCATCTACTATACAAAACTGTTTTATAACAATACACTGTAAAAACATGTTTTATTATTATTATTATTATTATTATTTTAACAATCTAGTATTAAAAACTATATTATATTAATAACAATATACTGTAAAAACATAACATTTTATGATTATTATGATTATTATTACAATCTACTATACAAAATGGTTTTATATTAACAATATACTGTAAAAACATAACATGTTTTATTATTATTATTATTACGATCTACTATACAAAATTGTTTTATATTAATAACAAAATACTGGAAACACATAACATGTTTTATGATTATTATTATGATTATTATTATATAATAACAATCTAATATACAAAACTGTATTGTATTAATAACAATATACTGTATAAACATAAAGTTTTATTATTATTCTAATAATAATAATAATAATAATAATAATAATAATCATCTAATATTCTAATATATGAAACTATGAAACTGTATTTTATTATATTAATAACAATAACTAAAACATAACACGCTTTATTATTATTATTATTATTATTATTATTATTATTATTATTATTATATTTTACAATTTTTATTATAATAATAACAATATATTATTATTATACAAATTATTATGTTATTGTAGTAATAATAATAATAATAATAATAATAATAAATTCTCAGTGAATAGATGTTTTTATTGTTATTATTAAGGGTCAGTGGCTTTGAACGTCTCTAACCATAAGTAAGAGCAATAGTAGCAATGGTTGTCTTCATAAGCACCACTAATGATAATTCATTCATAACAACAGTTTTTTTTAAATTAACATCCAATCTATTTATAATAGCCATAATTTTGTCACTTTGCCACTATGCAGCATCTGTTCTATATCAAAGTTCAAGAATGACCATTTAAGACCATTAAATATGCTTAGCTGAAGAGGAAACCCCTGTCACCATAGATAACATTTCCAGATTCTTTTGGAGAAGCATTAAAAGTCCTCGTCAATCTGTCTGTTTCCACCCCAGAGTTTGCCCCGCTGCATTGATTTATCTTTCTATTCTCATTCAAACTACTCAGGAAGCTGCGGCACAAAGCTCTTTAAATCTCCTCCTGTGAATCCCCTGGGCAGATGGATTCAACAAAGTGTTCAGCTATCAGTGATTTCAAACATATGCCACACCACCCCTGCTTTAATTCACACACCGATGTCTTTTTTACTCCCACAGTATCCAAGGCAAACCTAATCAGACAGACCCGAGCATGGGACCCAAACCTGGGGGTCCACTGGGCGCAGGACCCGGCCCCGGAGCGCCGACGCAGCCTCAGGGACCCGGTCAGGGTCAGGCTGCACGGAAGAACCTCCAGGTGGACGTGGGGAGCAACAAAGGTGGACACCCCGTCTCGCCCGGAAGCAGCGCTCCCACCTCGCCCTATTCTTTGCCCCAGATCGCACCCATGCCCAGCAGCAAGCTCTGTCCGGTTTGCAAGACCGCAGATCTGACGGGCACCACAGATGGCCAGCCAAACTACAATAAATGCACGCAGTGCCGCTCCATGGTGTGCAACCAATGCGGATTCAACCCCAACCCTCATCTCACTGAGGTAAGCAGCCCAATGCATGCTCGTTCTACTTTTTATGTTGTATAGCACCGGTTAAAAGTTTGTCATCAGTAAGATTTTTCTATAAAGAAATAGTTTTATTGAGCAAGATTGCATTAAATTGATCAAAAGTGACAGAAAAGACATTTAAAATGTTAAAAGAAATTTCTCTTTCAAATGCTGTTCTTTTGAACATGTACAAAATGTATAATAAGCAATGTTTTAAATAAATAATTGAGCAGCAAATCAGCATATTAGAATGATTTCTGAAGGATCATGTGACACTGAAGACTGGAGTAATGATGCTGAAAAATCATCTTTGGATCACAGGAATAAATTAGATTTTAAAATATATTCCAATTCTATTTTATATATTGTAATAAATAAACACATATTATAATAAATATACATTTATTATATTTATAATGAATAAACACAGTACACACACATGTATTATGTGAACACAAACGTTTATTTTGGATGTGATTAATCGAGATTAATCATTTGACAGCACTAATTCAAATACAAAAGTTATTGTAATGATTATAAATTGTAATGATATTTTGCAATTTAACTCCCTGTCGTTTTCCATCAAAATAAAGGTTTGATGTTTTAACATTTTAAAATGTAGAAATAATGTGAAATAAAATAATAATATGTTTTATGCTCAGTTTTTTTATTTTACAGTGGAATGCTACAATGATAATATTGCTTATTTTGTTTTTACTTAGTAATTTTTATATTATTATTATTATTATTATTATTAATTATTATTATTTTAGAGCAATACTGATATATAGTCACAACATTTTGGCTAAATTGTGCAGCCCTACATGCACAACAAACTTAGATTTTTTTCTTTTTAATTTATCTGAAAGTTTATTTTTTTATCTGAAAAATTTTTCTACCCCCCCAAATAAATGCAACCTTGTTGAATTGAGCATAAGAGACTTACCCCCAAAACAACATAACAGTAATGTGTGTGTGTATCAGCTGGACTTAAATCATGTCATAAGTCCCTTGAGAGAGCTATTCCTGTTTGATTCTGAATATTCACCATCAGAAAGCAACAGTGTGATATAACAACAGCGAAAGAGAGTGAACATTGCAGTCCAAATGGTGATTTTCAAATAAAATATTACTGTTAACGATAGAAAGCGAGATGTGTTAAATAAAAAGCTCTTGGTAATGAATCCTACGCTCGGCCTCGGCCTCTATCTGGCTCGTACCCAGGACACACACTGCACACAACCTGGAACTGCTCAGAAGAGAGTCCTCTGGGGCGCATGGGAATGTGTGCCTGCGTGTTTCTGTGTGTAGGATGCAGCGGAAAGACAGAGCCAATGTTCAGAGATGCAGATGTGTTAAATAAAAAGCTCTTGGTAATGAATCCTACGCTCGGCCTCGGCCTCTATCTGGCTCGTACCCAGGACACACACTGCACACAACCTGGAACTGCTCAGACGAGAGTCCTCTGGGGCGCATGGGAATGTGTGCCTGCGTGTTTCTGTGTGTAGGATGCAGCGGAAAGACAGAGCCAATGTTCAGAGATGAGTGTGTGGGAGAGCGAGAGGGTGAGCATGTGAGGGTGAGATTGTTTGAGCGTGTTTGAGGATGTTGCTCAAAGGTGCAGATGGCTGGCGGCGCGTTAAATCCTGCAAGTGTAAATTAGGCAATGGACAGGGGGACGGAGAGGAGGGGATGCTGAAGATCAGTGTAGAAGGGGCTCTAAAGTGATTTTTGTGGATCTGCTCTCCTGCTCTCTCCTGCTCTTCATCAAAGCCATTAAGGGGTGGAAAATTGGAAAGCAATTTTATAAGGGTTGAAGAGTAGTTCAGACAGACAATCACTGATTCAGAAAGCTGTGTTATAAGTAAATGCTCACTAGAGAGAGCTCCTTCCAGCCCCTTGAGACCATTTATAGAAAATAAGTAATTTAGAAATGGTCATGGTTATCAACACACATTCAATATTTAGTAACTTCACCCTTCCTGATGAATAACAGCATGAACTACGAGTTTGGATTCAGTAAGATATTTTATCATTTTGAAAGAAATTAATACTTCTATTCAGCAAAGATGCATTACTATATATATATAAGCAGCACAACTTTTTTAGCATTGATAAAAATAGTAAATGTTTTTTTGAGCAGCATATCAGCATATTTAATTTCTGATGGATCACGTGACACTGAAGAGTAACGATGCTGAAAATTCAGCTTTGCGTCACAGGAATAGATTAGACTAAAATATATTCAAAGTTATTTCTTTATATTGTATATTTCACAGTATTACCGTTTTATTGTTTTTTGATAAAATAAACAAAGCTTTGGTGAGCATAAGAGATTAATTTAAAAAACTTTAACAAAATCGAACTGACCCCAAACTTTAGATCAGTAGTATGGAGTTTAGCCAAAAGCAACAAAAGTCATTTACATGTAAAAATCTTAAAGGGACAGTTCACCCAAAAATGAAATAATATCTTTAAAAAAAAGAGAAATTAAACACTCAAGCTCCAAGATGATAAAACGGCACCAGCGTATTGCTTGTGCGTTCAATTCCAAATCTTCTGAAGCCATGTTATAGCTTTGTGTGAGCTGATCGAAATTTAACTCATTATTGACTAGAAAAATGGCACCATTTGTGGGAATAACAGTAAACACCATCTTGCATCCCGAGAGCAAATGTCATTGACATCAGTGGCGCCGTATTTGATTTGAGAACAACAGAAGAGAGAAGACATTTTATTGAATAATGACTTTTGGTGTGTTCCTCATACAAAACTATTGTAGAACTTTAGAAGCCTTGGAATATATACTACTATGATACTTATTGTGCTTTTATCATTTTAGATATGAAGAAATATGTTTGGACCCACATGATGGTGAATAAATAATGATGACAGTATTTTCATTTTCAGGTGAACTGTCCCTTTAAATGTAAAGAAGCAAAAACCTGTTAAAAGCTACCCTAAGCATTTATTTTAGGAATACCACTCATAACAATGCCTCTACTACCTGGCAGATTGCACTGAAATAGATGTCCTGAAATCACACATTTGTTTCCATGACAGCTCTGGGCTCTTTACACAGCAAAGAATCTGAGTGCAGATCCTGTGCATTAGCCAGTCATAAAGATGCCTCTCTGTCAGTAATTTTGCATGTTAGGGTTGGCTGGCATATCTTTCAAGGTAAGAGTGTAAGATTGAACGGATGGTCTTAATTTAGGCCGTCTAATTTAGCAAGATGGCTAACATACACAGTAAAAACAGTAATATTGTGAAATATTATTACAATTTAAAGTAACTTTTGTATTTGATAATGTTTTGAAGTGTAATGTATTCCTGTTTTAAACCTACAACAAGGAACCTACCATTCTTTCAGTATATATGTATGTCAGTGGCGGGCCGTGCATTTTACACCTAGGCCTTCAGTGGCGTCCTACATGAATTAATCCATCTCTTCATACCATCATAATGATGCCACAGCTATAGAAACCATAAATATTACATTTCATCCTGAAATGTGAGGCAAATGTTGGATCACAATAATTAGGTTTTATTAGGTACCAAAGTTTCCACAAATCCCTTCACTCGATTGGGATGTTCTCTTTTATTCTGGACAGCAAGGGCAGTGACTGTACCATCGAGTGTATTTTGCAGTATTAAACACGTATTTATACCGCTTTCCTCAGGCTCCGAAAATTCTTCAAAAAGAACACAAAGAATGGCCTTCTCAGCTGCCATAGTTGCAACTCTTGCGTCATCAGAACAGTGTGTTCAACGCACCACCGTTTCAGTTTAAAAAATGTTTTCCACCGTTTTTGTCGGGGCTGAACGCAGCCCTGGTGTTACCAACTCGAAATCTGATTGGCTAAAGCAACGGTTTCATTGCCATTGATTTAAGCTAACAGACGCCTGCACTGTGGATTCTGAAGGCCTTAAGGCAGATTTCTTTGACCCTGGTAACACGATTGCTGAAATATGATTGGATAAAAGCTCTAATATAAACATACACTGCTGGAAGCAGTGCAACCAAGAGAAAAGCTATGAACTGAAGAGAATAGACTATTGGAAATAATTTAATACACATTCATGGAAAAATATATTTAAACTAAATCAGTGATTCTGATAGTGTTTAGGCCAGCAGAGAAGGCTTTACTGGCCCTGACGGCCCACCACTGATGTATGTATATAAAGTGTGGCAAGTGAAAAATTACGACTTGACTTATGCTAAGTGGACTTAAGGGAATAAAGTAAAGTGCAAGTATGTATAATATGGCATTTAATGAATGATCATTGTGTGGAATTTTTTTTTGGGGGGGATTAAAAAGCTTCTGTTGATGACAAATAACAATAACATCCAGGCAGTATAGTCATTCAGCAGCTGAAATTGATGATCTTGGATATACAGATATATCATTTGTCTAGCACATTGCCACATTTTTCACAATAGGGTTCATCTTTAGAAATTCGATTGGGAGAGTTTTAGAGCCCTGCTGTGCTTTATAAAGACAGGATTGAATTAATTGGGCTCCTGTAGGACGGTGGACACTACAAAGCAGCTCTGAGATGGCCTTGATTTATACTGATGCTGCAGCACATAGCATACAGCACTAACTCAGCGTTTTTAACAGCTCTGCTGTCAGTTCCAGCTACATGTGACAAAGTGATGGGGAATATGTCTTCTGGCGTGTAATGTCAGGGTTAAAGTGTGGTAAGAGCAGATGTTTTATGAGCATATGGTTTAAATTACTAGAGATCTCTGCAAAATAGAAATACAGCAATAATGGTTGAGCCCAGATTTTGAATTGAACAAATTTGTTTTAATTATTATTGTTTTTAACCATCAAGCAGGAGCCAAGCACAAATTTATTAGTGAAACGGGAGACATTATGATATGACAGGCTATTAAATGTCGAGTAGGGGTGAGCGATATACCAGTGGAAGCAATTCACTGGCTTTTCCGAAGGGAACAGGGAAGGAGCATGCTGTGTGATGTGGAA